AATTAAAAAATACTAATAATAATATGTTGTTTTTTAATAACATTAAAACACAACATATTATTATTAGTATATTCCTGACCAGCATGAATTTTAGTTTAAGCTACAGAGTATATAAATTAAAGAGTGGTTGGGAGAAGTGACTGAATGAAACAGTACCTAAACAGGCTTTATTTCTTACCTGATGACAGAAAATTAAAAATTCTTCTTCTTAATTTATTTTACCAAGATCATCTGTAAAAACATGAAGTAAAAATTCCTTGTTGTGACAGGTGGATGTCAACCAGGAAGTTGTTCGTGAAGGCATCATGATTCAGTTTAAGTTAAGTTGTTGTAGTTTATATATTCCACAAAACACTGATAGAAACATGAGTGTGATGTTCTACTGCAACAAAACCAGTAAATATGTGTTAATGTGATGTTTCTAGTATTGGGAAAAAACTAAATTGCTTTATCAGTGAACAAAAATATAAAAGACGCATATATTCTGCATATGCTCTTCATGCAGATACAATCCTTAGAGGTCACGGCAGCAGATCATCATCCCCTCCATCTAACCTTGTCCCAGCATCCTCCTCTGTCACACCACCCCTCCGAGTGTCCTCCTTGGATTCCAGCGAGAGTAGATGTGGAGTCTTCCCATGCTTCTGTTAGCGATGCTCCATCTGAATGGATGATAACAACATTCGGAACAAACTAGCAGGTGGAGATGGCCCCCTATTGGCCCATAAATATGGGGCTGATTTCTGCTAATAACGCCCATTTTATGGACTGATAACATCTGAAGCGGGTGTCATTACACCCATGAACTGCATGGCAAACTGTGGTCTTCGTCTTTTCCTCCTGCCTGGCAGCGCCATCTCCAACATCCTTTGTCCAATTTTTTCACTAATCCTTGAACATGTCTGAACTATCCCAGCCTTGCCTCTATTTCTACGACTGTCCCTGTGATAGACTCATTTCTAATCCTGTCCATGATGGTCACACCAGTGACAATATTAACCGTGTCAGCTCTGCAAGCTCACTCCACCTACATTTTGTTTCCTGTCTACACCAGAGTGGAACAGGCCTTACTTCACTTGTATGCAGAAAATATTCCTGAATCAGCTGAATTTTTCAAGCAAGACATTGCTGACCTTAACCACAGCCATGTTATCATAACCCATGCTTCTACAGTTCAGACTGGACCTCTGCACGGCCCTTTTCTGGATTGGCATGACTGGAAGCTTTGACATCAGAGCATCCAGCTGTCACTGTGTTGTGAGAGTGTGGCTTTATAATTTAATAAAGTTAATCAGAAAAATTATGATGAGCAGGAAAGCAAATTAATATGCCCGAAAAATTAGATTGTATTATAATTAAAAAACAAAAGAAAAAAACTTTTCCTCACTAATGATAAAGGTTGTCACAATCATCCAGAAGATCCAAACACTTAAAGAGAAAACAGGCCTGGTGTCAGTTTACGTCTCCTTGAAAAGTGAGATAACCTTCATTCCTCCTCACACAGATGGACGGCCTCTCCATTGTTGCAGAAATCCATCATGATTTTTATTTATTTTTTTATTCAGTAAATTTATGACACGAACATTTACACGGGACGGAAATTCAAAAAAACTGTCCCAATCAGCCTTAATTCACCCTACTTTTCCTGCAATAATAAATGACGCCCATGAATACATTCACCCCTAAAACGCCTCTTCAATAAACTTTACTGGCAAAGAAAAAAGAAAAAAAGTGCCCTTTTTCGTGCTTTAGAACAGCGTTTTAAGTCGGACAGATGTGGATTTATGGGACCCCGTCGCTCACTGCAGCCTTACTTGTCCATTAGTTAAGTGACAGGACAGGGCCCAGGGAAACCTGCGGCGGTACGTGTGATTACGTTAAAAGATCGCACAATCTGTTCATATTTACGTAATGAGTCCGGCATTTTGCTGATTGATTAAACTACAGGGTGTAAATATTTTAAGGGCACGCTGATTTATAATCCGACAAAGCAAAAAAAAAGAAAAAAAAAAGAAGAAGGAGGCCAATTTATTTGTCTAACCATGAAAATGGGGGTTTCTGGTAAACCGTTCTTGACGTCTCACGGGCTGACTTGAGTGATTCAATAGACAGTGAAAGATTTTTATAGAAAGACGCGGGCTCTCTGCGCATTATTGGGGAAAAACAGAGAGAGGCAGGAGCCCGTCAGCACTTTTTGTTGCCGGAAAGTGACAGCGTTATCAGCGGTGAGTGTAATTTACGCGAGGGGGGAAATTTTTTAATCAACACGCACAGTGTATTCAGATTAAATTAGAGGAGAAACAGAATCAATGACCTCCATATATTCCTCCGCTGCCTTATCAATTAGCTGTGATTTTGTGTGTGTGCGCGCGCGTCCTGTGTCAGAGGGCCCTCTGTCATAAAATGGGCCAAATGGCATTCGTCATAGAGCTGACAAGTCACACAACTAAATGAGCTCCTATTGATTCGTGAGATTTTTCATCAGCCAAATTAAAAGCTGCGGTTTGATAGAGGCTCACTCTGCAGGCGTGTTACGTTCACTCCTATTAAATCAAGTCAAAGTTAAACGAAAACTTCTTTGGAGTTAAACACTGGCTAAATAAATAAATAAAAAAGCGGATTTGATGCTGCTTCAGGTTAATCATCATTTCGATCTTAACCAGATTTGTTAAAGCCCTGACCACGTGTTAAAACTCGTATCCTTGTGTGCTTCCACCTTTCTTTATTTGATCCCTTTCGTTATAAAACCTTTTATCTTCTGTGAGGTCTCTCTGAGCAGAGATTTCCGCTGTATTGCCACTAAGAAGGTCCTCATAGTTTACCACAGCCTCACCTCAGAAGCTCTGGAGGTCTTTTTTTTTTTTTTCATGAAATTGATCCTTTACTGTCACTTAAAATAAAACTTGCACAAATGGCATGAATGCTTATGTATACATAAGCACTGGGAAATATTCCCAGTGCTTATGTATTTGCACTGGAATATTTCAGCAGAGGTCTCATAACACAGTTTTATGAATATGTTATCAGATTTGTTTCGATAAAGTTTGATGTCAAGGTGATTCTTTGTACTTGATGTCAGCTGTAATTATTCTGTTATTTATCCTACGCAAACATATACATGATTTTCATATTAAAAGTATATTTTTTAACAAGTGATGCTCTTAAGGGTCTCTTAAGTTTCTTATATATATAAGACAGAACAGCCAAGAGCCTCATAAGGGTGCTAAAAGCACTGCTAAATCACTGCCACCAGTTAAGAATGCATTTAATCACTATATAAATATGTGACCGTGGTCTGAGAGAGGGTTAAGTTTCACCACACTGCATGTCCTCCAGTCTGCTCCTTAATCACAGCCCTTACATAGGGGTCCAATAAAAAGCCTCTTGCGGTTGCACAAACTCATCATGCCGTTGCTCTTGGAAATTAAAATGGGCCTATGTGACCGCTCCCCATCAGGCTTTTGATTGCTTTACTTCCTATTCATTAGCTTAATTATTTGGCCATCAGTAAACCTCACCAAGTAATTAATATCTGAGAGCCTCTGCAGTAAATTAAAACTGTGAAATGAGGCGTACTTGTGCTTTGGTTTACTACCAGAGGCAGCAGGGATGTGAGCTAATGGGTGGGAACTGAAAAAGACGCAAACATGAACAGTGAATTGCTTTTGTAGCCAAGGAGCATTTTCACGGGAGTGAGATAAAGCTGTTTGTGTTTTTTTCCTTTCTTTTGCACAACAACTCTCAGAGTGGTTATCCAGCACTTTGGTCCAGACTGAAAAACACATCATAATTACATTCTTCTTGCTTTCTGGATTAATTTTAGTTGTGCAAATGATTCCCTGATTTTTCAGAAAGAATTCCATAGTCTCTCTCTGGGTACTCCAGCTTCTTCCCACAGTCTAGAGACTTGCTTGTTAGACTGATTATCAATAGGTCTTAGGTGTGAATGTGAGCACAACAGGTTGTCTCTCTCTCTGTGTATTAGCCCTGTGACAAAAATTGAAATTGAATTAAATAATAGAATAAATAGAAGTATATCTTATCCATCCACAGCAGCTGTTAGCAGACGTTGCTTTGTAGACTTCAGCTGGTAATTTAATCACGAGGCAGCAGGTAAGCAGCTCCTTCAACGCTCAGCACCATCCCTGTGTGAGTTCTTTTATGTATTTTAAAAAACAATTGAAATCAAATGTATTTGTCCATATATATATATATATATACATTTCTATCACATCAAATGGAAATAATTCACTTCTTTTGTTGCCATTTTCTTTATTTCACATTTACACCACACAAGTTTGAGATAAATACACGTACGATTCATCCTTCAATCATTCAAATAAATTAAGTTCATTTATTTACATGTAAGTGACGACAACGAAGTCATAAATATTATTGAAAAAAAAATCTGAATATTCACATTAAATGCACAAATGGAAATGCGCTACATGGGATGTTGTGCAAAGTCTGGGAGCAAAAACATCTGGAACTGCAGCTGTTTCTGAGCCTTTGTCCGTTCTATCAATGGTCACACGGCTCGTGCGCCTCCTGAACCTCATCAAACTGTTTGAATGTGTTGTAGTTCACTCCTCTTAACATTTAATTCCTAAAAAATGTGTTCACTGAGTGGAGCTCAGGCTGTGAGTGGATGGAGGAAACAAGTTTGCCACAGAGGACCACTGGCGCATTAAAAAAGAGCAAAATTAGGGAAAGAAAGAAGCAGTTTTTTCCAGCATGCTGCAGCAATGTAAATTACTTAGTGATAATTCTATTCACAAATAGTTTAAGCACTATACACGCGTCATAATCCTGCATTTGTTTATGTGTGATTGTGTGAATGAGTCCAACAAATGTCTTGATTGGAAAAACCTTCTCAGAGCATACGAGGTGAAGATCTTTAGGTTTGTCCTCTCTCACAAACACAGACTTTCCTGTTGTGACTTTGCTGAAACACTCAGGTAATTCTCATGTGTTTTTAAAACCTTTTTCTGGGTGTGTATTCACAGTCCTGCCCCAATTTTCCTGTCACCCCCACCCACTTCCACCCCATCCAGCTCATCATCAGAGAAAGGGCTGTGGGAGCTGTAGCCAGCTTCATTGTTACGCTGCAAGAAGTCCGTGGTTTGCTGGATCCCAACTAGGTTACCCGCAGAAAGAGGAAAGCCACGCTGGGGTGCCTCCGCTACTTCTTCCTCCTCATCCTCTCCATCTTCTTCCTCTTCTCCATCCTCCAATTCGAGAGCTATCCTTCGGTCGTCCGGGTTCAAAGCTCGTCTGCTCTCACTGGATTTGTCGGAGCCTGTCTTTCCCGAGCTGCGTAGTCTCTCTGCCTCAGACTGGGTGGAGGCAGTGGCCTGCTCCTTTGCCTTCCGACTGCGCTTCCACTTCATCCTCCGATTTTGGAACCAGATCTTCACCTGCGAAGTGATCATAGTAGAAGAAGAACGCATGTTTAAAAGAAGAAACGCAACCTGGGGTTTGTCTGAACAGAAACAAAGACAAATTTAGTCACAGCTCCAGAAGCTCTCTCTTTCCTATTTCTTTTTTCTTTGTTAGATAAAAGCTGCTTTATAAATTGTTTATTCTATTTTACCTTCATTTTTAAGGTGATATGTTTCATATTGCATGTCAGTGTTGGGGAGGATAAAAAGTGTTATTTTGGGGTTCATGCTGTGGTCATCATTAACGACATCACTCTTTATTATCACAAATTTTTTATCCCTCCTCCTCCTACCAGAGGTATTAGCATTCATAACACTGAAACAATCAGCGACAAATAAATATTAACAGAAACATAAGACATGTGAGTCTTACACACATGAATATATGAAGATAGGTAAACAATGAACACCGAAAACTGCCACAGATGATTGACAACACAACATCTGTGGACATGAGAAGCAGTTTGCTGATCAGCTAACTGCAACAAGAATGAAGATACTTTAGTAAAGTGTAACATTTAAAGCTGATCTAATAGAGTGCTGCTGGCTGTTTTCATGGTATAAAAATGGTTTGGTCTTATTTAAGGCTACAATAAAAAAGAAAAAGGAAGATGAAATCTGTTGATTGGTTGTTTTCTTTTTATTTTCTCCCTATTTTGATATTGTGGCTCATTTAGTGTTATTAGGTGATGGGTTTCACACTCCTTTAACTCTACCGAGTTATTCTTATTAAGAAAATAAAAAATAGATATAAATGTTATAACTGCAACTACACACATACAGTGTGCTGGCATCTGTTGAGCGCCGTGATCTGGAGATGTAAAGAGGAGCTCTGCAGTCTCTGGTCTGGCTCACCTGTGTTTCGGTCAGCATGAGTGAAGTGGCCACCTCGAAGCGCTTGGGCCTGGACAGGTATTTGTTAAGCTTGAACTGGTTCTCCAGCTCCAGGAGTTGCTGGCTGGTGAAGGCGGTGCGGGGCCTCCTGCATTTCCCCAACAGGCCTGACTGAGCACCCGCTGGAAGAGGAACAGCAAAGTTATCAGTTTGTGTGTGGTCCCATGCAAGATGACTATAAGTGTATATTTTAAAAACCTAAATCACCTAAAAACAGGATGAATATGTGCATATTAATATTAATATTATAAAGTTATTTCCTAATTATTTGGATTCCTTTAAGGCTCTATCCAGGAATATTTGCTCACTGGCTGCCACCACTCTTATTTATATACTGTAACATCAAGGACATCAGAAGTTCATGGTAATGTTGTGGGTGGGAACAGACGCACATATGCCGGCACTATCCGGCCATCATTAACTATAATAGCTTTACTCCAGTTTATTGTTGACGGGGGGGACACGGCAGAAGCGGGCGCAGGGGCCATAAAAATACAGGCATGCCATTAACTTAATGAAAATTCAATGAAGGCTTTTAGGATTTTATTGATGAACTACAGAACGTTTTAGGTGTTTGTTTATAGTTTCTTCGTCACACAAAGACAGTTTTCATCGGGCTGGCGTTTATAGAGAAATAAATGGGGCAAAATTAAAATATGACAGAGACGCAGTAAAACAGGTGCCACTGTACTGTGAGGGACGATGTATGACTGCCATTAACGCGACATACAGGACTTAGATAAAACAACAACAACAACAACAACAAAAACAACAGAAGGCGCACAAAGCAAAGCTAACCGAAGGCTTTAAATTACGCTGCCAGTGAAATGTATTTATGAATAATAAATAAACAAATCAAAATGCTGCCCGTTTCTTTCTCAGATTATTATTAAATATTAAGGTTTTTAAATGTAATAAAACTTTGGAGAATAGAAAAAAATCTATGTCAGAATCGTTAGTCCGGTTTGTGATTTAAACAATAAATCTGTGCTGTGTGCTTGATATCATGAAAAAATAAGCAAACATAAAAACCCCGAAATGACAACTATTTAGTTATTATTATTATTATTATTAATAATAATAATAATAATAATAATAATAATAATAATAATAATAATAATAATAATAATAATAATAATAAGATTAACTTGACCAGTTCCGCCTAAACTCTTTCTCTTTTAGTGTAACACACAGCTGTCTGAAAATAAAATAAATTAACAGATAAATTCTCCTGTGAAATTAATTTATTTTTATTTATATATTTATTTATTTTAAAGTTAGATTATTCTGGACCTCTGCTTATCTAATGTCATCACACTTACAGCTGTAATCCGGCAGTCGTGGCACCATGAGCCCAGCGCGGATCCAGTGCTCCAGGGGCAGAGATCCAGCCATGGTAGCCACCTTCAGGTGCTCTGGGTAGGTCTGCGATAGGTGCGTGAAGCCAGTGTAGGCGAACGCAGGGTGTTGTCCACCCAACGCCGACAGTGGGTACATGGGTGCAGGATACATGCCGGGAATCGCTCCCTGAGGCAGCGATGCAAGCCCCGGATGGGGCAGATTGAGGACACTCTGCTTGGGGATTATTCCGGTCTGAAGGTGCGCTCCTCGCGGGGACGGAGTGTCCCCACGGCGGCATGAGACCGGACTGCCGGCCGGGCTGTCACTGCTCAGACCGGGTGAGAGGTCTCGACCACACCGATTGGTCTCATCGGCGAGAAGAGCGTCGATTCGAAAGTTTTTCGATTTCTCCATGATGGCTTCAGCAGCAGCAGAGAGAGAGCGAGAGAGAGCGGGACTGAGGAGTCTTTAGAAAAAACAAGTCGAGCTCTCTCCAGGTGCGCACCTGTGCCGTGCTCTTCAGTCACAAAATCATAAGCTCTCCTTTCCCCCTTTTATAAAGAAAAATAACCCGAAACCTGTATATTCGTTTAAAAAACACATTGGCAGGGTTTTCCCTCGTTGTACTTGTTTCAGCTAAATGCCACTCTAACTGACACCCGCGTGTGCGCGCGTGCACCGGTTTCTTTAAATTGCGCCTTTATGTCAGTCCGCACCATCGAGTCTCTTGGAAAACTAACCCACAGAGGTATGTTTCCCTCTACATCAGCCGTCCTTCTCCACCCCTGGAGGCCTCTCCCAGCTGGGGATTGGCTGGAGCTCGAGCTGCTCTGACGGGCCTCTAATCAGCTAATTACTCGCTCGTTTCTCCCCCCAGAAAGCATTCAGAGTGAGGTAATGTCCAACCCTTGTCCCGCCTGCAAACACCTTCAACTGCATCAAAGCACCGAAGTACATTAGAAGATTGGGCAATTGTATTTTCAGTATCTATCTTACTGCCAGCTCATCGTACTCTCCACAGATTGCGGCTACCTGGCTGCCATAAACAAAGAATTATACGCTGCTTTCATTGTCCAGACTAATTATTAGTGCTGCTAATATCCTCCACACCTTAGAGCCAAATACTGGCCTGTTTTCCACACTAATGTTATTGGTTACCTCTGATTGGTGTGACGTTAGAGACGTTGTGTACGGTATTTAAATCATTAGTATTAATGGTTTGTTTCATTCCTATACCAAGGCCATACCGATGCTATTAAAGTTTACGATCAGGAATTGCACACAAACCGTATAAAAGTGTAATGACTTGGCAGAAGAGGCTATAAGTTAATTGGCCCTCTGCTTAATGTGAACTAATGCAGTTTTAAGACTGGAGAAAGGCGGCGTACATCCGTCTCTCTTCGTCTCTCAGACATGGTACAGTTTATCAAAAATTATAAGTCACAGAATAATAAGTGGAATCTGCATGTTGCTGCACCAGAAGGAAAACTCCATCTTTTGATAATGCGACATTACAGATCTCTATCCAACCCAACAATAACTATAAATAATGTGATTTTTTCCTGTGCAGTTGTGGCTTGTGTAATACTAACAATCTAATATTTATATTTATTTGTTTTATGTGTTCCCAAGAATATGTTTTAGGCTCTAACACCTTCACTAACAAATATTCATCTTTTCCTCATGTCACAATATTACATTTTCCACATAAAAGCACACGTGGGCCTTTGTGTGCTTCGTTCTGCTGATGTGAACAAAAACGCCACCTGTTTGAGGACACCCCCTTCTTAAATCTGTAAAATTGTGCGCACACGTGTGTATGTGCGGTGCAGTTGACCTCCAGGAAATTGTTAGTCCGCCCATTTCTCACTCTCTCTTTCTCCTTTACCGTGTTACTGCGGTGTCTCTCATCCTCAGCTCTCTCTCTCTCTATCAGGCAGATTGGTGTCTGTCTCCGGGGCTGATATAGAGGTAATTTGCTCCTGGGTAATCAGTGCTACCTTCTGCCTGTTTCTCGCAACCTCTCCCCTCTTTTCTTTTGCCTTTATTATTTGAAAGTATTTAAATAGCCAGGCCACCGCTAAACCTGTCACTTGAGTCTGCCAACAGAGGTCCACGAATTAAATTAAATCAGCGCCTGCTTCCAGTGTCTGGTGCATTCTTCTGACGATGGATGGTCTTTTCCTCCTAAAAGATGAAATTTTGCTGCTATATGTACATAAGTCCTGCTAATCCTAAATAAGTTAATAATTGAATATAACAGCTGGATCAGAAGCTTTAAGAACTTATAATACAAATCTTATTAATGAAGAGAAGACTGATTAATATAAATGTCTACAGACAGAACAGGTGGAGCTGGTGTAATTGAGATGGGGTCTAAAGAGCTTTAATAGTTTAGAAGAAGAAGCTGTTGAGGTTAGCTCAGCAATTTCTTAAGTGCCTGTTTGATGATATAAATTTGAATGTTGTTGGAGAGAATGCTATGATTTTTATTTTTTATTTTTGCAAGATGCTCATGAATTTAATAGTAGAATAAATCAAAAGAAACTCTAGTGATTCATTGAGGTTTCCAGGCATTTGTTCATACGCAGCCCTCTTAAGGTCCCGCCACAGGGTTTCAATCAGGTCGAGGTCTTTGGCCCGGACTTTGACCAGGCCATTACAAAACTTTGATTCTTTTCTTTTTTGGGCAATCTGTTGTAGATTTGCTGCTGTGGCTCATGGCTTCAAAATAAGCCCCAATCGTCATCCCTCCACCTCCGTGTTAGACGGTTGTATGAGGTAATTTGTGTTCACCAAATATACTACTTTGAATAATAGCCTAACATCTTCATTTTGTTCTTGTCTGTCCAAAGGACATTGTTCCAGAAGTCATGTGGTTTGTTCATGTGCAACTTTGCTAACTGAGGTTTGTAGAGTTTGAAATGTAGCTCTTTCTTGCAATTTCGAGCACTGATTTCAAGCACAAATTCTTGGTTGCAGATTTTACCATCTAGCTTACAGTGCTGAATATAGTCACATGGCTTCTTGTAAAGCTGATGACTTCTTCTTCTTTGTTTACTTTGAAACTATAAACAGCAGATATAGTAATGCGATCTGTCTTGTGATTAGTTATGGGCAAACCTCTCAGAGGTCAAAACTAGGTAAAATGCAGGACAATGGGAATAGCATGATAGCTTAATTACACTGTTGTTAAAAATGAGTCAGTAAGAGCAAACATTACTCCAGGCTGCAGTTTGCAGGTGAAATATCTGACAGCAGGTGTAGCTGAAAGTGTCTTATTTTAATGTGGTGGAAGGCTTAATAATAAATGTTTTCAGATCTAAACTATCATTACTTCCTTTCCCTTCTTTCCTTGTGACACATGTCCTCACATGCACATGCCCCCTTGAACCTTTAGTGAAACTCTCCAAAAGCAGTGCACACCCTTCTCTCTGTGAGAGGACAATTGGTTCAAAGGAGCCGCGAGCCCTTGACTACAAAGCCAGAGTTTATCGACGAGTTATGCGTCAGTAAACCTAGCAGCTAACAGGAGTTTACTGAAACATTAAAGAGCTTATCAGCAATTACAGGCATATTTTTCAATCATTACCACAGCTCTGAGACAGCTCACCCTGTCCTTAAACTAAGTCAGGTGTGCTCTTGTTCTATCTGCATGCTGGACCAGTCATTATGTTTTTCACCTCCACTGGGTCAGTGATTCTTGGCGGTTTGAGGTATTGATAAGATCTTTCCTGCTGCTGATAGAGCAGAAAGTTCAGGCGCTTCTATAGTTCGTCAGAACAACACAGAACATGGAAAAACATCAACAAAGCAATGTAACGGACATTGAAAGATATATTTTCTTTGATTCGCTGTCATTGATACAATACCTAGGCACTGTGATTAATCCTAATCCAGTTTACTTTGATTGTGTGTGCACATTCCTGGATCTGCCCTCTCTTCAGGCATGTTGTGACACACAAAGGTTTCAGGGACGCTGTTGACCAACACCACCTTTCCCACCAGGCCTGGAGTACAACGACCAGACTGCTGCTGTGATAAATGGTTGTGGTGCACAATGGGCTTACTGTGAAGTGAAAATCAGCTCTCCATAGCTCTGGTAATTAGACTAATTCCCACAGCGTTAAAGACAGATGATAAATCAACTCACTTTTCTGCCAGACCTTGAGACCAAAATTAATGTTGTCTCATTAAGGAGATAAAAGTAATTTATTACTTTTACTTCTCCTCCTTGTCTCTGTATCCTGTCCCCCTTCATTTATTAACCAATATTGAGCTTTGCCATATGACATCTAGCCTGCTGGATGTGAATCTTTCGTTGTCTGTCTTTGCTACTTTGGCCCCTTCGCTCTCCTCTCTCTCTCTCTCGCTTTCATTGTGCATTAGCATGTTTATGAGCGTCTAGCAGAGAGATAACACAGGTGTTTGCCAAAGCTGGAATGCACTGCAATGATAAAAAAAACTTTGAACTTTTGGATGTTTCTGTGTGAAAGCTTTGTTTTTATGCAAACTAGTGTACACTTTATATACCATTAAGACAAGAGTAAAAGAAGCCAAATGAAAAGACGATCACATCCTCGGCTGGTACAGAAGGTGCAAACTGACCGTAATTGGAAAGTTAGCAGGGCGAGTGTGTGTGAGGTACTTCCTGCTCGGGAAACCAGGAAATTTCCCCAATTCTGCAAATGTTTGACAACCAAAAGGCTTACAATAACCTAAACCTCTTGAAATGGTAACCAATTCAAGTATTTTCTTTATTAATTTATACAATATAAAGTCTTTATTATCAAGCTAGGTTTGCTGTTAGCCAAATTTACATTACTCATGTTGGTTTGCTAGCCAAACTCCTGACCAGTGTTGGTCAAGTTACTTGAAAAAAGTAATCAGTAACTAATTACTGATTACTTCCACAAAAAAGTAATCCCGTTACTTTACTGATTACTTATTTTCAAAAGTAATGAATTACTTAGTTACTTTTTAAAAACAAGATTTACAACCTGAAGAAGTGATAAAGCGATAGATCTTTCAGCCCAATTCTACTTTTTCTACATAATCCATCATACAAAATGTAATCAAATGGAAAAGTCTCTTTTTTTTAACTTGTTTTATCAGTTTTAATCTTTTAACTTTATGCATGAAGCAAAAATTTAATTATATGCACCATTCTCTGACTTGAATAAATTAGTTTAACATTTAAACCTATTTTCTGCACATTCCAGCACATAAAATAAAATATTTTTTGTGTTTACACTCACTCTTTCAAATAGATGCAAGTAAAACACAGCAGAAAATAAATAAAGTCAAAGACTAGCGGTCCTTTTGCTCTATTTTCACCTGTAAAGCAGGAGCAGGGTAGGCGGAGGTTTACCCTGGTGCAGGTGTGCCGCGGTCAGTTGAAGAATCCGCGAGTT